GATTATCTGGTACCCGGCCTATGATATACACTGTAGAAACATCGAGAGAATCCAACGTCGTTTTGTGAAATACTTATGGTTTAAAGATGATAGAGCGTACCCTGAAAGAGGTATACGCAATGACATTCTCTTAAGTAGGTATAATTTATCTAATTTAGTCAAACGTAGGAATCTGTTAGCTGCTAAATTTTTATGTAATTTGTTGAATGGAACAATTGATTGCCCTTTTCTTCTAGACAGGATCTCTCTACGCGTTCCCGATTTGCGTACTCGTCATGGTGGTAACAATTCATTTTATTTACCTGTTCGGCGGGCAAATTTATTGTTATTTTCTCCTCTTTATGTTATGTGTAATGTCTGTGACAGTGTAAGTGAACTTGATACGTTTAGTACCTCCAAAATCAATCTCAAGAGGTTATTTTTAACAATTGGATAATTTATGTTTATGTTTATACTGCTTACAGTTTTGTTTTTGTATCACTTTTTGTTTTTTCCCTGCCTGTTAATTGGATCACTCTGTTCAGGCAGTGTATGGATAAAATTGAAATTGAATTGAAATTATTAACTTTTATATGGGATGCATTTTCTTGGAAACGTAAATCAATTTTGCGAATAAGGGGCTATCCAAAACGCAAATCTAATCTTATTATCACTAACAGTAGCTGAACAGCACACCGAGTACTCGGCTGAGTACCCGGTACTCGCCGTTTTGAAAATAGTAGTACTCAATGCATCCCTACCCATTAGACATCATATAACGAGAAATGTACACTAAAAATGCCTACTGATTGTTACATCATGTTCTAAGAAAAGTGAATTTATATCTTAGTTGCTCTGTTATACTCTTTTGTGGCAATAGCATCTTTATGTTTTTAAGAAACCTGTGTTGAGAGCCGTTTAAACAGTCCTCTAATTACGAACAAGCTCATCTTGTTCGCCTAGTAATAAAATAAAAGCATTTCCTTGTATGTGTGCATGCATGTGAAAAAGACATGAGACAAAATAAAGGAGACCATATACCCATTGAGAAGAGAATATAGTAAGCTACTTGATTCAATTTAACAAAGAATTTGGGATAGGATAAACGGTTGGTAAAAACAGTCACAAACACCATAGATCTACTTAAGAAGTACTTCCTCATTAATCAAGAAAAGACGAATAGGTGGCTCACACAGAATAGAAAAATACGGGACGAAGTGCTTTCAGCAACAGATTTTCATTCTGCTCGATTTTCTAGAAGCGCGTGGCTGACAGTGATAATGTAATTACCTGTACTTAGGTACATCCCTTCATCTGTGTTAAAAACCGAAGCGGATAGATAACAATAATAATATTTATTGTTGTCAATGTACGTGATGTGCTTACACAGGTCAGAGCAAAATATTAAAGATACACCTAAATAAAGAGATAATAATAAATGACAAACTATACATTATAAATAAGACAAACAATGGCAACATACGATGACTAGAAAGGTAAAAAAGTAGGAAAGCTATGTCAAATCCGAGAAGTCGTAAGACATACATTCATGTAAGTAAAATAAATCTGACAATGCCGCACAACTATGTAAAAGGATAACTAATCACTGTTTTGCGATCGACTGCCAGTTCAATAAGAGTGATGATGACCGACGCGCTCTTGTCAAGTGTGTTTTAAATCTTCAATCTAATGAAACTTACTTTCTTACTGACTACAAATTTTGGCTTAACTTAGAAAAACTTAATTCCATTTATTTGTTAATTACCCAATTTAAAAACGTTTTAGATTAGATTATAAAAATTAGAAAGATTGTGGAGATTGTGATCGATATAAAACACTTAAAGTTGTAAACTATAAAACCGTTTAGACAAAAATCTATTGACTTTTGGACCATGGGTCATATGAACTTTTTGACTTTTTTTCCAATAATGACTACCATAACGTTTACACCCTGTATATGCGTGAGGTAGTAATAAATGTAAGCACAAGGCAAAGTCATGATCTTTAGTTTTATGAATCCTCTCTAAAGGGATCTCTGTACTTGCTTGCTATGAACCTAACACACAACTTCTGTAGAGCAAAAACCATCTACATATGGGTCAATGACCCCATGCTAGGATAGCATAATATGGCATTTCACTGTGAAAATATGCGTGGTAACTGGATAACAAGATTTTTTAAGATGCAACATTTTTAAGATTACGAATTAAATAAATAATTTTTGTTAATGATTTGCTAACATAATTAATGTGTTCATCCCAGTTTAAAGTAGCATTTAAGTATTTGCCAAGACACTAAACTGTCCCCACATGGTTATTAAGAAGATCATGATTCCGTAGAGTATTGGTCATTGGTTGAGTTTTGTTTGAATTTACGGTTAATAATTGCAAGCCATTCAAGGACGTCTGACTTACAAGTAGAGGTCACATTATCTAAATTGGTAAGAGAATCGTGAGTAGAAACAAGAGTGGAGTCATCGGCGTATAGAATTAGCTTATTGTTAGCATTGCTGGAAAGACAATTGGACAAGTCATTTATAAACAGTAAGAATAACAGAAATAGAAATGAATATTACAGGTATTTTAAAAGACGTTGCCTAGCAACGTGCTTCATTGGAGTTGTTGTCTGCATCTCTGAGTCGCCAGCGGGTGTCGCCAAATGGCGCATAGTCAGGAGACGGTGTGGTCATGTTTTAAAATAGGCGACGTCGCCAAGATGGTTGCCAGGTCAGGGAACTCGTTCTAGATACTTCAATAGAACTGACTACGGATGCTGGCACGTCGCCATGGCGTTCCGTTACGGGAGGACTCACTCTAAGGAAGGTTGTCATGAATGAATTTAGCCTGTACCTAAGGTCTGAGATATTCGTCATAACGGACTTTGATTCAGAAAAGTATATATTGTACGGCCTGCCTTAAGGAAGAACGCAGGGACATCCTTTCAAGAGACAGTTAGGCATTCCAATGACGACGCGACGGTAGGAAGCAGCGCCCGCCTGGCGATCTTCTCTAGCGGTTCACACATCCATTCTTTAAAAATCCGACATCACATTACCTTCCAATATACGTATATATGATATAAATCCCAATAACTATAACCAGACCAGCTCCAGATCTTGGACTCTTTTTCAACCTCGTTGTGATGTGACTGTATAAAACAGTGGTGAAATTAAATCTTGACATTTTAGGGTCACATATATGTTCAGATTTTTCTTTATTGTAATACTTTTCACTTTTCACTGTGGTCTGTTTCAAGAACAATGTGAATACAATAGACAATTCTGTGGCAATACATTTTGTTTTTTGTCTTGCAGGTGACATTTCAATTCTGTTTTTCTTATTGAAATAGTGTGAACCATCATTCTAATTTTAAGATTAGCTGACAGACCGGCACACAGACTGACAGACTAAAATAAGTAACATATGGTTTTTCGTGTCATATCCAAAAAACATTATCATGAATGAATTTAGCCTGTACCTAAGGTCTGAGATATTCGTCATAACGAACTTTGATTCAGAAAAGTATATATTGTACGGCTTGCCTTAACGAAGAACGCAGGGACAACCTTTCAAGAGACAGTTAGGCATTCCAATGACGACGCGGCGGTAAGAAGCAGCGCCCGCCTGGCGATCTGCTCTAGCGGTTCACACATCCATTCTTTAAAAATCCGACATCACATTACCTTCCAATATATATGATATAAATCCCAATAACTATAACCAGACCAGCTCCAGATCTTGGACTCTTTTTCAACCTCGTTGTGATGTGACTATATAAAACAGTGGTGAAATTAAATCTTGACATTTTGTTAATATAACTCCATTTTAGGGTCACATATATGTTCAGATTTTTCTTTATTGTGATACTTTTCACTTTTCACTGTGGTCTGTTTCAAGTACAATGTGAGTACAATAGACAATTCTGTGGCAATACATTTTGTTTTCTGTTTTGCAGGTGACATTTCAATTCTGTTTTTTTATTGAAATAGTGTGAAGCCATCATTCTAATTTTAAGATGGCACCGTGCGAGATATTGGCGGTTATAAGATTAGCGGACAGACCGGTACACAGACTGACAGACTAAAATGAGTGACATGGTTTTTCGTGCCATATCCAAAAAACATGATATCTCTTAAAGGAAAAAAGATACGAAATGTCACGTGAAAGGGAGAAAACAAAATATATTATCACAGAATTGTAAATTTTACTTAGAGAAGAACACGCAACATCGTACAATAAACAGAAATCTGACCAAATATATGGTTTTGATTCGGCCAGACAATAAATAGATCCTACGAACATTTAAACTCCAGGATAAGTTTCAGGAGTCGCGTCTCAGACACACTACATGTCGGAATTTTAAATTTGTCACTCTACCAAATCAAGAACAGAATTTGATTTTTATAATCCAACTTGACAATGTTATTATACATTGCAAACATAATTTCGTCTTATTGTACGTCTGCATTTTTAACCAGTAATGACTTGCCTAAATAGGAAACATAAATCAACTAAACATCACAACTTACAATAAGGCATTAAACAGTCAATTTCGACTATTTGTGGATGCTATTAGATGGTGGTGAAACGCAAGCATATATTATGCAAATTTTTCTCTAAACGAACAAAAGAATAAAACATTTGCACATCACACCCTGTAGAGAGGCAATTAATCTCCCAAACCAACCCCCATATGTCCACGTGTGCGTGCCGGGACTCAAGGTCATTCGACAGAGATCCAGACGACGGATGGGGTCCCTGCCAGATGGCAGCCAGTCAAACTGTAGATCCTCTTCAGAAAATTTAATTTTCTACCCAACCATCGGCAGATGTGCTGGCCGGAAGAAGGAATAATGAAAAGAAGAGCGGAATGCTTTTGAAGCAAGGGTGGGTGTCATATCACCCGTTTAGGGACAAAGAGAAAAAATGTAATTTGAACCGATGGAACTTGGTTGTTAGCAATCGACGAAAAAAATTGATTGATGTTATAAAAAAGAATGTGTATGATGACACGCATTTTACCTGCACCCTTTTTAGACAGAGACGGGACGCTATTCATCAGCGAATAACCAGCCTGTGAAGCCAAATAGTCTTTGGAATTGTTTTTCATGTTTAGCATATCAATCGCCTTTAGAGTTTTTGTGTCAATATAAACTAGAAAGAACTTTGAAGATGTACAGGTTAACTACATATTGCAGATAGGTAGATTCAGTTGTTCTCAACTGCAAAAACTTACCAAAGAGGGTTTGTCATTGAAACAACTCATAAGAAACGATGATACATATTTCTGCAAAGTAATTGTCATTACTTTTACTTCCCACGCCTAGTGAGAAGTATTGTAGGCTCAAAAATTTTCGAAAATCAGATATTATGTTTTTTTTGATGTTATATGACGTATGTATCAGGAAAAACTGTGTCACTCATTTCTGCCTATAACTTTTTAAGTACCGCTCGGATTTTGATGTTACCGCTACGCCATGGACGAAAAGTTTGTATAGGTTTTGAAAATCGGTCCAGTGTCGGAGGAGAAAAAGGCCAAAAACGAAAAAAGAAAATCGATCAAACTTCTTTTTTGACATTCCAGAGGATGCTGATCATTTTGGAAAAAAATTTAGAGGTAAAAAATTTGGGTGTGGTGGTTGTAGGAGAGTGGGGAGGGTATATCTAAATTTTTTGATGTTAGTATATTTATACGCTCCCAGCCTCGGTAATTCTGCATACCTATAATACATATTTCACACGTCATAGATTTCCCCGTACATTTACCCTTAAAATTTCGAATCATATTTTCAGCAGACAGATGGTGTACATAACGGCAGCATCTGCCCTTACTCCCAGCGGCGAGCCGGTCCTGGTAATGTTCTGGTATTACTGCCTCGCCATAGCATAGTGTTTCCTATGCTGTGGGCGCGGTGTCACGCCTTGTCGAGCTAGGTATCGGATAGAGGCGACTTTGCCAGATGAACTACAGGTATGGCAGGGAAAGAATGTTTATGGATTAATTGTATGGACCTTTTTGATTTTTTTCCAGAGGGTCAAGTTTGTGTCCTTTATGAAGTGGTAACGATGTTACGTGAGAAGTGCAGAGTCAACCTACTTGACATCATCTTTATTTTTTGTAAATGAGCTGAAATATTTACTGACGTTTCGGCCACCTCCATCGCCTTTTTCAAAGAATAAATTACTTTATTTACTAATAAACCGGAATCCTACTTTAAAAGGTTTCTTGTATAATGCTTGCTTACAGTATAACACAAACAAAATGCTACCATTAAATAATTGCAAAATTGTTCCGTTACGCCTGGCTCAGTCATTAAAAAATCGTTGACCTGAAAAATATGCGTAGCCTACCATTGCTAAAATAATTTGAGAGAAACTATGTCGCTCGACACATGGCCGATTCGAATATTTTTGCAAAGGTTGTATGGCAAATGCTTTAGCAATCCTCATTACACTAATTGTACAAGACCAATCTGGCTTGCATGAAGCGGCATACTTTATTAATTTCTGTGAACATTCAATATGTTAAGCCTTAACGTATACAAACATGCCAGAACGCTGAGATGCCAATAAGTGTAGAGTAAAAGCTTGGCTATTTTTTTAGGGCTAATAATTACTTTTATAGTCTCAGCACTCTTTCGTACCGATGGACTGATGGCGATCTGCCTTTCTTCTACCGCTATGTCAACAGGCTTTGCTCCCCAGAGGTCTCGTCCATGATGCCAGACAGACCCGCCTGACTTCGGCTTTCCATCTTAACCGTGTTGAACTTCGTACGTTCAAAACTGGCCGGTTCGACCGTTCCTTTGTCCCTAGGTGTCGAGATTGTAGAAAAATCTGCCTGAGGAATCTTTTCTCAGTTCTACTAACCTTAAGCAGTTCAAAAATCGGATAAACAAAGTATTTTTTGAGATTCTCATAGATGCGGAAACCAAGTATTTAGGCTCTTTCATATGCGGCTGGTCCGGTTTAAAAAACCTCGTACATTGCTTGTGCGAATGACGAAATATCAAAACATGTTTATCAAACATCCTGTATGTTTCATATCAAAAAGTATCCGAGGTAGTCGAAATTTTAATAAATATTTTTCCATAAACTTAGCGTGATGAAAGGAAGTTTTGCTATATTCAGATAGTAATACATCTTGTTATTGAGCTGTCAAAGAAAATATGCGTATTAAGATTTATTTGTCTTTTTTCTCTACCCAACTGCCCATGAGAAGTGTTATGGTACTTGACCAATGATCTCAATATCCATTTGGAAAATTAATTATTGACATTATAAATAGCAAAGTGACATCTGGAGGTTGTTGTGAAGTTATGAGCAAATAAATTAATTGGTCCGTAATTAAAACAACAAATAGTAATATTGATTATTTTTGATAACATGCGTTGTTGTTATACCTCCATCAACACAATTGGGTAAGGAGCTTGTGTATTAAATCTTACAATCTGAAAAAAAAACAACGTTGGGCGGCGAGAACAGTGCCAGTGAGTGGTATGACGACTTTTAGGATCAAATATACAGGGTGATTCCTATGTGAATGTCAATATTTAAGGAGGTAATTTTAGTGTCCATTTTAAGAAGAAAACTTTTGAGATACGGGGTAGTGAAGTTTTCATAAATAAATCATTTAGATAACTTAATGAAATTTGGCATACACGTACTATGTATCAAGAGGCATTCCTAATGTACCACATTTTTTTAATTTCCGCCAGTGGCGTTCGTACGGAAGTTTACCTGTCTATTTTGGCAGATATTGATGGTACGCCACTTATTTCTCCTAAAGTAAGTGAACAGTTATTATTCTTGAAATTCCAATTTATTTCCAAGCAAATTTGATCACTTGATTTTTTTATTCCGGTGCACGGGTTTCCGGAAACCATCCGTCCGATTAAAAAAATCAAGCGATCAAATTTGCTCATAAATGAACGAGGATTTAAACTTTTTTTATTTAAAAAAAAAGTTAGTGGCGTACCATATACTTTCTATGTTGAAAACTTCACCACTATGTATCTCAAAAGTTAAGACGTTTAGGACATACGTTCATACGAAGTTTTCTCATTAAAATGGATCCAAAAGTCGTCCTCTTAAGTACTGACACTCACTTAGGAAACACACTGCATTCTTTGCGCAAATTAGTAAAATAAGGAAGCCTTGACATGGGAAAGGTTTTTCTGAGATTGTTTTTTGCGCTGGAAATTTTTCATTTAAGTGTGTGATAGGTAGCAAACACTGGTTAAAATAGCGGGGATTTTATGCATTAATTATGCAAAATAACATAGAAAATATTCACATACAAGTCCATAAAGACCCCAAAATGACCGTTGCGCTAGAAAGTTTTCATTTAAGTGTATGATAGGTAGCAAACACTGGTTAAAATAGCGGGGATTTTATGCATGAATTATGCCAGATAACATAGAAAATATTCACATACAAGTCCATAAAGACCCCAAAATGACCGTCACCCCTTATAGTAACACAAAACCTAATTTAAATTTATAATTATCTATACCTATAATAGTATTCCTGCCAACGAAAAAGTTACCAGACCTAGATAAAAATGACCGCAGTGCCAACGACCTAACAAGATACTGACATGGGCGCCCATATAGCAACATTCAAGGAGGGTGAGGACAGATTGGCGGTTCCAGAATCCATGTTCAGCGAGATTTCCGCCTCAAAGGGGGGTTCCAACTCCGGCGATTGAAAATTGAATTCCCTTTTATCAATAAAAAAGCAACCTTGAAGTTCCTATTTCACGGGCTACAGCTTAAACGGTTTGATTGTTCTTGACATATGAAATCTCTCTAGATTTGTCTTGACAGCACGAGTGACACTGGCTATATTGTTTTATAAAAAATAGCGTATTTTTAAACGCAATCTTCAAGTTTGAGATTTTTATTTCACGGGCTTCAGCCCAAATAGCTTAATGGATTTTGACAATTGAGGTGCCCTTAGATTCGCATTGATAGCGCAATTGATTCTTCATTCTTTTCAGTTACTGCAGTTGGATTGATTATTTTTAAATTGTGCATTTTAGTGTCAACGTGCCATTTTTTGGAACTACAAACATTGCAAACGTCTTTTAAAACTTGAAAGGTAAACCCCTCTTTAGTTTGACTTTTTGTGAAATTGAACATCCTGGATTACTTGCAAACTTCAAGTTAAGTGTATGTCACCCTGTATGTAATGCTGTGTACCCTACCACAGGCAATGATCTGGTAATTATTGTGAGAAACACTCTTAACGAGTTTCAACTCAAAGAGGGTTAGCTCCGGAATACACTGGTAAATAGGCAACAGATAACGGTTAATGGATCACTTTGTTAAATAAGATATAACAAGGCTAGTGACTCACTAAAATATACTTATTTTGGAAAGCATGGTCAAATAATCGCAATTGGTATGAATGAGGGTACTTGTCCTTTGTCATTAAATAACTGATATTTTCATATAGATACTCTGTAGCACGCGATTTAAACTAAATTTGACGTTCGATTTCCTAATTTCTTCAGCTAGAAGGTTTTCAATAAATCAATGTCACCAGCACTCACAATGCATAACTGTTCTCGATTTCAATTTTATACCTCCAAATACGAAACAGATGTCACCCTCATCCTGTGTTTATATTTTTTCTATTTTAGTGGCACACGACATCTGCTCCTTCCCAAGTATGGTACAAATAATTCAGACCCAAAATTTGTACTTATCTAGATGCATTTTAAGTGGAGGTTTCAAGTTACACCCTGTTCGATTTTTATGGGGTGTTTATTCTATGCAGTAGCAATGTTTACCTTTCAGTCGAATAGCTCACATGTGGATGAAGTATTATTTTCACATGCAACTTTTGAACTTCCTAAATATATGACAGTACTACAACTTTAAAGTTAATTGAGTTCTTCAACACCAAGCTTAAACTGCATGACGAAAAAGTGACGCTGACACATATGCAAGCCTTATAATGATGTCAAATACATAAATCAGTAAATATTGCTAATATATGCATGTCGAACCCAACAACGCTTAAGTAATTGCTGCGAAGATATCAACTGACTATTCCATAGAAATTGCAAAAAACCGTTACAGGTTATGCAAGATCGCAAGCAAGTTATGCTTAGTAGATAGTGATATAGATAACATGACTGCACTGCT